GAGATCGCTCTTACCACAGAAATGCATGCTTCAAACAAAACAGTCAGTGAAGACGAAGAAGAGGATGATGTGTTCTCCCGGCGCCTATTTATACTATAGTCGCACCGGTAGTGACGTCATGGCTGTCGCGGCCAACGTGTTGTTGGTGATTTTTCAATGTATGCTTCAGACACGGGTCACGACGAGGCGTTCCCCATAGTGACCCCTAGAGGACGCAGTTCGAAGTTCCCTTGAAAGGGAACTTTGGGTGTGTGCTGGTGTGTTACGGAAAGCCATGAGCCATCCGACCGGCCGCTCATGAACTTGGGGAAACTGAGTTTTCCAAACAGCGAATGGAGGTGGATTTTCTCCAAGGAAAAGAAAGCATCCAGGTAAAGACACTTCCCTTCAGCTCCTGAAACAACACACGCCTCTGCGCTGGTCCTGCAGCTTGGATAACAATCTCTTTGAAACCCTCCGGCACTCGCTCCAGCATTACACAATGCGTGAGTGTGCGCTCAGCTGAAACCGGTCCAACTTCCACTCTAGACACTCACGACTTCTTTCTTTGTTCTTCACTCTCCACAAACCCGCCATCTTTTGATTCTATTCCACTGTATATATAGCTACAACACTTCCTTCCCAAATTATTCTCCCGTTCCTATTCGCTGGCGGTTATGACAGTTGTTTTGGTTTCATTTTCCCAGTTAAGCCTTTCCCGTTCCGCCACACACTGACTTGCATTTTGTGAAAGGGCCATGGTTTCAGCTAAAAAATCTGTTCTATTGAAGAAAAAAGTCACCTACTTTTTGGATGACCTGAGGGTGAGTAAATTAACAGCAAATTTTAATTTTGGCTTAACTACCCCTTAAACATTTGCAAACCAGTAAGAGCGTTTCTCAGAACATTTTGTACAAACAGCACCACGCAATGGATTACCTGCAAAAGCCTGTAATTTGCTTGAAATCCTTACTTCATCTCTCAAAATTAAGTATGGATTTTAGTAAACAAATCAGTGCCATCAGAATGACAAGTTCTTATCGTTCACAAACAAGATAGGCAGAATGTTTGCCATGTTGTCAGTCTAACAGTACACTCTATCAGTATTTTCAGATGATGACAAAGATTGAAAATGCACAAGACTGCACTTTTCCTGTATGGCATATATCTGTTTCAACAGTACAAACTGACACATTATGTGGGACATTGATTGCAAGAGACTGGACAGGATTCACAGTTACACGTTACTGGTGGTCTGACAACTAATTACACTACAATGTCATTGCAATATATAAAACAAAAAGATAAGACTATACATACATAGCCTACACTGTATAATTATGTGTGCGTTTGTGTGATAGTATGTATCTGTATATCTGTAAGATGCAAGTGTACTGTGCTACTGTAAGTGTACAAATGCTATTGTAATGTGAAGTATTACAGAAAGTATTGCAGTGCACATAAAATATTTACTTAAAATATTTAGTTAATATTTAAATAATTAAAGAACACATTCGCATGTTTACAGTTCTCTGAAAACACTTAATTGTCACATTGGAGGTAAACTAAATATATTTTTAGTGTTTAAGTGTTTAAATTATTTTTGTTTTACATTTTTATGATTATTTCATTGAAAGCTTTTATCAACTCACAAGCCCATGAAGCTCTTACATAAATCCCAGTTTGGGAAACCCTGGTGTAATGTTTAATGTATTTTATGATGCTGATATAAAAAAATTGAATATTTTTAATATTTGCCTTTTTCAGTATCATAAGTTTAATGGTATGTTTAAAACAAGTTTGATAAAAAGTAATGTAAAAGTAGTCAGAATACATTAAAATGTGTAACCTATATTACATAAGTAACTACAGTTTTCATCATGTAATCTGTAATTGACTACAATCTGTAAGTATTCTACCCAGTAGTGTCCACAAATAGCATAATTTATGCCAGTGGTGAGGCCACTTTCACCCAATGAGAAGTTGGTAATATTCCAAATGGATGTACTTTATTAAATGATAATAATAACGATAAATGTCTTATTTCGCTATAACTTTATATATTTATTTTAAATATATATTTAACGTGAGTTTTCATGGTCAATTACAGGGAGTTTCCTAATTTCCCCTCTTTCTAAAGGTACATACCATACGCGAAAATAGTGAAACAAACATCAGTCAGTCTTTAAAAAGTATATATTGGATATCCCAACCCAAATGAAACTTAAGTCTTAGCAATGAATCCAGACCGTGAAGCCAGACCACCTGCGGATGATGCATTTATAGACAGGAAAGATTGGTGTTTAAACCCAGTGAATGAAATGCTTGAATGCTTACATTCATCGATCAGTACTTTTAATACTTAAGTACATTAAAAATCAAGTGCCTTTGTACTTTTCCTCAAGTAAAGTCAAAAAGGAGTACTTTTACTGGAGTAACATTTTATTAGGTTTATCTCTACTTTTATGTACTAACACTATCAAAATGTGATAAAATGATGTCATCCATAAATGCTATGTGTATTTTTATTGTATACTATTGTTGGGACAGCTCATGTTTTAAGCAGTTAACATGGATTAAAATGCTAATTATAAAATGTTTAAAAATGTGTGCTTAGATATTGCTGGCTGAATGTACTACATAAAGTGGGCTACTTTTAACCTTTAGAAATGTAATGAATTCAATAAATAATTCAAGTATTGTTTAGAGGAGCATGGATGATGAATTCTTCTAAACATTGTCAAAGTGATCCCCGTTCACACAGCTCTGTAAAAACAACTAAAAATGCTTTAATATGCATGCCGAGCCAGTAGTTTGCAATGCCACTTCATAATGAATGACATGACTGTTTTCACAAATTCACGTTTTTGTAGTTTACAAGGAGACAATAATGGTATTGGTTTCAAAACCAATTTATTAAAGTCCAAAAAGAGAGTTAAAAAAGAGGAGGACCTTTAAAACCCTTTACAAAAAGAACAAACGGAATGCATTTTCAGCTTGTATTTGTATTAAATTAAAAATTTTGAGTCAGGGGTTATTTTCTGCAACATCCTTGAGTTTAAGGGAAACATAAGGGTGCCACGTTTCTGTCCAGAGATATGTTATCTCAATTTATTTATTTCAATTCTTATTTATTTAGTTTCTTTGTTGCTGTTTTCTCATTTTTCTCATTTCACTGTGTCCAGATTTGTTTCTATAGTAACTCATCATGTTCCTTTCCTTTAAAAAAAGGAACATTTCCTTCCTCATTTAGTTTGTGTAATTACAAGCCTTAGTTACAGTTATTTGTCTGTTCTATGTTATTTGTGAGTTTCTTGAACTGTCAACAATATCGTCTAAAAATCCAAATTGTGAACTTATGCGTGAATCACCTAAAAATAAATGCCCAGATCATGGGCCCGAATGGAGGACCAGCTTCAGCTTCATTTAGCAGTTTTAAGCTATGAAGGCTGCAGGGCCCCTGCCTCAATTGGCCTGCATCATTGAGGTCCCTGAGGTCCAGACCTCTGTATTTTTTCCAAGGTGCATGTAATAAAAGTTGTGAAATATTTGCTCAATATCGACTCTACTTTGGTGCTTCAATGACATCACACAACACCAAGAAACCCGATTTTCTCATGAGCTGCCTCAGAGCTCATCAACAACAAAATATATAAGATGACCAGTCAAGTCAAAGTAGGGATGCAATACTGTTCACAGAGGCTGCTTAGCATGGATTCCAGCACGATGCATCCGTTTATGGCTATAAAGTGCGAGATATGTAAAAGTAGCTAAACTAAACATAATATTTGCTAGCTGTTTCATGACAGGTGACATAGACACGAAACATGCATGAGATCTGCAAACAATACTCCGTAGTTCTGAATGATTACACTTATCTCTTCCTGACAGTCGTTTTTGCATTGTTTAATCACTTTTGACAAGTGAGAGAAGTTTTCCACCACCTTCACAGGGGCACAGGACTTTTCAGCATCTCTGATTTCAACATAAGCAACATTTTTTAATCATTTTTCAGTAGGAAGGGAGTATATATATAATAAAACTTAATCATTAAAAAAGTACCATCATTTTGTCTTCCTCAAATCACTTTTATAACACTTTTTCAAGATAATTCTTATTCCGTAACACATTATCAGAAATCTAGCTGCTTTAAACGCAAAGGATGCTCACACCAAATGTTGATTTAATTTAGTTAATAGAAGTTCATTGATAAAGAAAATCTATTTATGACATTATTTTTGACAGCATCCTCATTTTACAGCATTTTTACACAAGTGCCTAAAACTTTTAACAATACTGTAGTTTGCAGGTAGGTTTCTTGAAGCATCTTGGAGACGTTGCCACAGTTCTTCTGGATTGAGTCTGTCTCAGTTTGTTCTGTTTCTTCATGTCATTCCAGACAGACTGATGATGATCAGATCAGATCTCTGTGTGGAGCACTGGCTGCTGTCACACTAAAATCTCACTGGATTATTACAATTAATGGAAAAAAAAAAAGTTTGGAAATGTAAACTAATATTTCCTACACTACAGCAAAAGATAGAAATAACTGACTTTAAACCATTTTTAGCTGGTGAAAATACTAGTGACCTAAGACTTTTGCTCAGTATGTATGCCATACACTCTTTCAATCAAATTGAATGATTTCACTCTTAGGTTTTAATGAAAGCAAAAATGTCTGAAATGTACATCTAAATCATGGGAATATCAAATAATAACCCCATTAATTACAATAAGGATTAAATGAAAAAATAATAACACATGACATGCCATGCAACATGACACTCTTCACAAACGTAAAAACACAGATGTATCCACAAATCCGTCATTAACAGACACAAAATACTTTGATATTCAACATAACACAATGTCATAGTTCCAGAGATACAAATTTATATCAATTAACCTCAAACCTTCTGATGACTAAATCTCATAAATGTTGATATATTAGATTTTTGCTTTTATGATTCGGTAGTAAAATGTTACATATGAATATGCGAAGATAATTAATACCTGTCTAATTACATGACTGAACATGACACTTCAGAACCCACAAGAGATACACTGGTTTTTGGACCTACTGAGAATCCAGTTCCCAGAAATTTTGCTTCCACCCCACCCAGACCAGCAGATGCACCCGTGTCAACTCCAAGTCCCAATTTTACACCAACTGGACCGGCTTTAGCTGATGCACTGGCGATTTCAGCTCGAGCCATTGCTCCGACTCCAACCACACTGACTTCAGCACCAGCTGAGGCGTTTGGGCCTTTGGCTTCAGCCTCAAATACACTGTATTCAGCACAAGCTCTTCCAACTCCTGCTGCTGCATAGACTCCAGCCTTGGGAATCCTCTTTCCTGGTTTGTCTTCAAGACCGTGCGCGTATTTTCCAGCTTGAGCATATATCTTTTTTGCATGGGCATGTGGTGGTCTGTCATACGTATCAATTATGTTTATGGTATCGACTATATCAACATGAGCTGATGTGGCTTTCACATTTGGCTTCTTGGTAGTATTCCCTTTGATTTTCCAAGTTTCCTTTTTTAACAATTTCTTATTTACATCACTTGAAATTTTTAGATCTACACTGTGTTTTTTGCCTCTCCACAGCTGTTTGGTATAAAGTATGTCAGATTCTTCATCTGCAAATAAAACAAATGAACTTTAATGCAGTGCAAGCAGACAGAGATTTAGAAAAACACCAAGATTTATATGAATTTATACCATTTTACATTAAACAGTAGAACATTGTGAATGTGACAAGTTAGTTTTACTTAACCTTGCAAGTTTTAAGGTCTATATTTGTCAGAGGTGATAAGTAACAAAGTAGCCTACATTTACTCTGTTACATTTACTTTGAGAACATTTTTGGAAAATTTGTAGTAGATTTATACGTGGGTACTTTTACTTTAACTCGAGTCAATTTCTAATGAAAAAACGACTTTTATTTTGTTAAGCTGGGTGACGTTCCTCTTACATTACTTATTTTTTATGCAATGCATGCTAAGAAATGCATTGTTTATTCTCATTGAGGGTATGCCCCAATCACAAATGAATCACACCAAAGCAATTTGGCAAAACGGTCTGAATTGGTTTCGCGAATCAATTTTAATGATTTGTTCCGTTCTCTGTATGCACTGAATCGCCTGAAGAAGTTTCCCACTTGTAATGGAAAATTTAAGAACACAGAGAACCGAAAAAGTGTTTGATGAAGTGGCCATAATAAATAATAGGTTGATTGTGCAGTATAGAAAGATTCATTGATTATAACAGAACTTTGTGAGATTGCAATGAACAAAGAGGAGTGACAGCTTTTTAGTAATTAAAAGGAGCTTTCTAGGCTATAATATGTTCAGAATTTGTTTGCAACATCTCTTTGTCGGCCACACACTGCAAAGTTGTGGTTATGGCATCCATATATTTAGGCGGAATTCACTCTTGAAATAATAATGGGACAAAAATATATGTGAAAATGTGCATTAAGGCTAAAGCACCCTAAATAATTTCAGAAGCACCCAGTTGATTCTGAAACCGGACAGGTCATGAGCATTTTTCCTGCATGAGTTTTTTCACTCATCCTTCTTTGTGTCAGTGGTTCGAGTGCAAATCTCTGCAGGTTTACTTTTTGATATTGTCTAATAATTCAAATGTAGCTGTATGTGTTGTTATACAAAACAAAGGAGCTGCAATGATATTGGAGCTTCAGATGAGATGCCAGAAATAAAGCTGGTCTCTTCTGTGTTTGTTGCAAAAATATCTAATTATGATATTGTTCATATAATAATATCATATAAATTATATATAAAAAAATAAAATAAAAACAGGACATAAATAGCCTACTACTTCTAAATTTTGATGTTTTTTGATGTACAAATCTTGATAACATTATAGGTGGATCTCAGAGAACAGTATAAAATAATAAAAAAGGTAGTTTATGACCCCTTTAAATTATATAATATATTAATTTAACATATAATATATTATCTAATATTACTCAAATTATCTACTGTATTAAGATGATTACTATCACTTTTATTTGAGTATAGTTTTTGGATACTCTACCCACCTCTGGATTTAGTGTGAGATTTGGTTCCTACTGTGAGATCACATATACTTTTAAAATCTTTATTCTGAGTCTGACTTCAAGACTGAACTTCCTCAGTTGTTTCTGTTAAGAACTGATAAACAAGTACACGGGGCAACCGGAAACTGGGACGTATGCCAATGCTTGGGCAGGCAGAGAGGGAGATATATGTAGTTGTGATTTTCTGTGTTCTGGGCTACTCTACTACTTCTCATCTGACATTTGACTAGTAAGCAACATTATTAAAAGACTCTTCATCTACACCCCAGACTTCCTGTCTCTTCATTCCTGAGCTAACACTAAATGATCATGCACACAACTGTACACGAAAAAAAAAATTCTTAAAAGAAAGGAAGTGACCTTTTTTTTTTATATTTGAAATATTGTATACAGAGATGTTTGGGAATATTCAGACACACATATAATATATCACAGTTAGTAAATGAAACATTTTAGAAGTAAATAAATGCACAAATAAAATGCATCATTAAAAAATACACAAAAATGTAGAGTTTTCTCAATGTTAGTAAATACAGACAGACTATTAAAATACACTTACCATTGTCGTCATGTCCAGGGTAACTTATATTTCGATTTCCAGACATTTTGGGTGTCAGAAGTTCTCCACGGGGCTTTGGTGGAGTGTCGCAGGTGAAGTTGTGACTCGTTCTGTACCTCCTTAGACACAAAGAATAAGACACCAACTCAAAGTTAGAACACAATGGCTTTTGCCCTTGATCACTTTGAAATCATCTCGGAGTCACTTAAAAAAATGCAGAGAAGGAAGCAGTTACTGGTACAATAAACAAATGGAATTCCAAGAGCGTGACATCATATCCTGTTTGGTATAGATTCCAAAATTGCAAGTTTACTTTGAGCAACCCTCAAGACCCTGTTGATGCAAATATGACACTGGTTTTACACACACACACACACACACACACACACACACACACACACACACACACACACACACACACTTCCATCAATGGTTCCAAGAAGAACCTCTAACATCCACAGGACATTTCCATACCATTCTTTACATAGAAATCCTAAATATCTAGATTTCTTTAGGTGTTGTTTTTCAGTGCATATTTAAACACCTTCATCTTATTTTTATTATTCTCAGGTTAGGTAAATAAGTCGAATCGGACCTATCAGTACAAATTCGGACCGAAGACTTCTCCGTGGTCTGTTCTGGCTTGTAAATCAATGCCACGGGAGGCAGTTATATAAATACAAGTCAGTTTATTTATTACAATTTGTATATCTAGCAGCACAAGTATTCTAGAACTACTGTATACAAGTATTAAATAAAGTATAAATATCAAAAAGTTCTTTACTCAAGGCAATATCAGCGATGGCTCTGGTGCCGGAGAAGCTCTTCAGGTCCTGAAGCGGCATCTAATTTCGTCCTCACTGATATTTAAACTAGTGACCTCCCCAAATGACGCAGACTGGGAACACCCTCAACGTCTTAAAGTAGCCTCATTCGTTATCTCTTCTTTCTTCTTACAGACACTGTAGCCCTCGTCCCACAACCAGCCCATCACCTCTTGTTAAGAACTCTCCACTCTTTTTCCCTCATATCTCTATTCTCTTACTACACATATGCTTAATAAAAGCTTTCAGACATCTTTTCCTTATCTCTTTGATGCTGAATTCAACTTCTGCCCACACATATAACTCTGCAACACTCTCCAGCCTAACACTCATAGTATTACTGGGTCAATACTATAGGACATCATATAAATGTTATACTCATTGTATCATAAATACAATACCTATGCAACAGTTACATATTGTTGCCCATATAAGGCTTCTGCAGGAAATAAACAAAATAATAAATCATTTGACATAATATTCTAGCTAAATACATCAAACTGTGAGACAGGGTAATTGCATTCTTATATGCATTTTACACAACATCCCCCTTGCAATTAATCTCATTGTAATTTTCGCTTTTAGTTTATGACCATTTTCCACTTGATCAAACTTTGTCATTTACATTTGTTTGTATTTGGAACACATTTATTTAATATTCCATGCAGGGTCGTCTGTTTTTGGTCTTTTAACTTGCTTGGTTAATTCTTTTTTAAGTCATAATTTTACCAGAGTCTTAAATCTTTGCACTCTGCTTTACTGCCATCGCACATTTACCATGTTTGTACCTTTGTACCTACTCGTACCTAGTTTTCCTAGTAATTTAATCATAATCAGTTGCCTTTTGGGGATATTCACATACAAATGTACGGCCCCTCTCAGTTTCTTGGTCGAAATACTTTTCCATGGGCTGCTAGTTTCACTGTCAAACTCAGACAAAGTGAATATGTTTCAAGGGGTTGCTCTACTTCCTCTAGTCGATTAATGACTTGGTTTTAAAATACCTTCATTACATTTAAAACTTCAATAGTGTATTTGACAATTTAAGCACATACAACTGACTGATTTTCTATTTGTCAAATTACTACACAGTTCTCTAACCTCTAGGTGGAACCATTTCAAAATTTACATTCTCACATTGACACAGATTATTCTCTCTCTCTCTCTCGATTGATAATTAATTCAAGTAAATGTTATAGTTCATTAATTCAAATAAATGTGATCTTACCGCACTATTTCATCTCTGTGTCTGATTTGAATCGGGCAGAATGCTAGCGCTAACGAGCCGCAACTGACGAAAATAGCCGTCATTTTTACAATTCTGGTCAAATATTGCGCTGCAAACATCATTAACAGCTTTAACTTGTCAAAATCCAATGTGGTATCCCATCCAGAAACACACTTATTTATTTATAACACTTTTTAAGTCATGTGTTCTTTGTCACCTTCCTGACACACACACACACACACACACACACACACACACACACACAGTTGATCATTTCGAGTCATTTCTCCAACAGTCTCTTTACTTCTTTATTATTCTAGGTTTAACCTTTTATGGATTTGCTTATTTGCTAATACATTTTTTCCATTTGAATGTCTTATTGCTTCTCAGCTTAGCCAGTTTGTTTTTTTCCCTTGTTCCAAATCTTTCTTTCTTTTTTTTAAGTTTCATTCCTACACAAATTATTAGTTTATACAAGTTTTTTAAATGATCTAGATCCAAATTCATGATCTAGAATAAAATAGGTTGCTTAATGTCATATTCTGTGTATTTTAGTAATGCTTTTGATTCACATACACAAACTCGTGGAGTTGAGTCTGGTACAGAGTGATACTATCTCCTTGACCTTTTCTGACCTTTCTGCTTCACACTGGTCTGAGTTTTCACATGCAAGTCCCTCTTCTTTCTTGGACTCTTTCATATTCTTCATTTTTAATTCCTATTTTTAGATGCTTAAGTATATTTCTTAATGCTTCTTATGCGAGTTTTGATCTTTTGTGTTCATAATTTTATTCTTAGGAAGCTGTGTCATAATAGACTGTCCTGAAGCTCCCTGCAATTTTAAATCAAAGATGTTAATATCTAACATCTTTAATTTGTTCATTTGTGCACTTTCTCAGTAGGGTTTATGTATTGGTTTCCAGAGCTTTTTCTCCGTCTTTGTTTTTTGAAATGTTATACATTTTTTTGCATGTACTGTTTCTTCTGTCTAACAGAATTTTATCTTCTGTTCTTGCTTACTAGATTAGCCTATGAGCCCCACTGAATAAATATGAAAGATGTATTTTCTTAATGATCACTAATGTAATTCATGGAAAGCTGGCAAAGTTGAAACGTATTAAACGTATATTTAATAAAAACAAAGAAATATATGCCATTAATATCTGTAAAATAATTCCCTATATAGTATATAGTATCCCTACATAACAGCTTTACTACCAATAAACTTCACTGTGAGAACCAGGCACTTCTCATCGCTCTTCTCTTGTAGCAACACCATAACATTTTGGATGCTGTTAGATCCGAAATGAGTGACTTGAATGACAATATGTTTACAGATAAACAACCAAATGTTTTTTAGTTGTGGATTATTGTGATGTTTTTATCAGCTGTTTGGACTCTCATTCTGACGGCACCCATTCCCTGCAGAGGATCCAAACACATGATTACAGTTACACTGACTACAACAGTACTGCGAAAAGCAATAAACATTCGATTCAGGTTTATTGTATAGCGCTTTTCACAATACATTTCTAAGCAGCTCTACAGATAATTCTTGTTTCAATGTTCCAGTTACTGTAGGAAGTATTCTATTATCAGCCACAGATCAAGGTAATATCCATATGGCAGTAATATATAACATGTTTTGAGGTTAGTTAACATCATGTATTCAGTTAAGCAGACACAACAAATATGTTAGGCAGCAATTACTCGTACTTGTAATGATTGCAATACTAATATTTGATAGTTCTGTATGTTGATCCAAAGTTGGCATCATCTGAAGTCTTCGCAATTGTTGGCGTTGCCTGAAATCTTTACAAAGGTTGGACCCAAACTAGAGTTGGCATTATCTAATTAAACACACCACAACCAAATTCAAAAAGCCTTTGTGTACTCATAGCTCAACAACAATACTAATTCTGCATTAAAAACACTTTCTGTTTTTAAAGGTGATTAATACCTGTCTGATCACATGTCTGAACATGACGCTTCATTGCCTAGAACAGATACACTGTTTTTTTTACCAATTGAGAATCCGGTTCCCAAGACTTTGGCTTCTACCCCACCCAGACCAGCAGATGCACCTGTGTCAAATCCAAGTCCCAATTTCAGACTAACTGGACCGGCTTTAGCTGATGCACTGGCGATTTCAGCTCGAGCCATTGCTCCGACTCCCACTGTACTGGCTTCTGCACCAGCTGAGGCATTTGGACCTTTGGCTTCAGCCTCAAATATACTGTATTCAGCACGAGCTCTTCCAACTCCTGCTTCTGCATAGACTCCAGTTTTGGGAATTGTCTTTCCTGCTTCGTCTTCATGACCTTCCACATATTTTTCAGCTCGAGCAAACTTGCCTTCTGTATAGGCACTTCCCGGTCTGTCATGCGTGTCAATTATGTTTGTGGTATCGACTATATCAGCATGACCTGATGTAGCTTTCACATTCGGTTTTCCTTTCTGCTGCTGTTCAGTAGAAATATAATATTCTTCATCTGCAAATAAAGCAAATTAACTTTAATGCAGTGAAAAAACAACACGCCTTATATGAATTTATACCATTTTACACTAAACATTAGAACATTGTGAATGTGACAAGTTTTACTCAGCCTTGCAAACTGTAATTTCTTTATTTGTTGTGATCTATTCTGAGTTTTGGTTTGCCTAACACAAACATCTACATAACCAATAGTGTTTAACCATAGGGCTAGGCGGGGCTGAAGCCCCGGGGCCCGAGCAAGGAGGGGGCCCGTGATTGGCTGTGGAGTAGATTGACTGGAGCGCCGATCGCCAAAGCCACCACGCCCCCCACTTATTAGCGCTGTTATTTAGTTGAGCTTTTCCGTAAACTCCATGCATTACCATTTGAGATTGAAACATAAAGTCTGAATTTGGTTTACCAATCAAATGCATTTATTCTATATTTGACTTTTGAACGATATGCGCACGTATCTATCAGGTGATCACTGCCCAGTATGTCTGCATTCACCTCTCTTCACTTTGTTCTGGAGGAATCTGGAAATGGTCGCGCAAAGAACAACACTCAATAAGTAAAAATGTCAGCAATTCTAAAAGAGAGAGGGGCTCAAAAAACGAAAAACTTCAAATACAAACAACATAAAAAACATGACAGCTATCAGGTTATTTTACTAAAGCTGATGATGGAGTGGAAGTTGCTGGAACAGCAAGTGAACCGGGCACACGGAGCAGATAAAAACAGTGTCATCGTCCACACAGATTTTAGGTTAGTTTGATTATTAACTGGATTTATATTGTTTTTGTGTTTGAACAAACTAT